TCTAGTCTTACACTGCTAAATTAGGGACGGCTAGCGCAGATAGCCCTCGTGTAGCTTTGCGCGAAATTCAAAAAACGAAACACTTTTAAATTAGGGACGGGTAGCTTTACACAACAAACAATTTTTCTTAGTTAGTAACATTTCTAGCTGTATGGTAGCTGGAATTTCGTAGGTTATCATATTAAATATGTTTAACATGAATTATTTTTCAATAACATTTCTAGCTGTATGATAGCTTGAACCCGAGTAGGTTACATGTTCTTGTGCGCCATTGTTTTATGTTCAGTAAATTCGAAACCGAAAATGTTTGAGGTGGATTTATCAATATACCTTTCTATACCAGTTTAATGCTGCATGTTGACTTTATGAGAACGGATTTTTACTTTAGTCACGTGGATTACGGTAAATTATTGCTCAGTTGTGCGATTCAGCAAGTGTTTTGGAGTTGCAAGTTTTTACAATTTAATATCAGAAAGTGATTTGTGTTAAAATAATGAGTTGCTACAATAGAAACGTTGGAAATTAATTACGGTATTAATATTAACTTCCGACCAAAGCAAGCTGCATGTTTTGAAGAGAAACTAAAAATCAATATTTCTAATTAAATAACCCCTTCTTACCTTTCTACTTATAAAAGTGAGAAAGCTTTGTGTCATCAGTTGGATACACGTTGTATTTGATTGTTTATAGTTAAGCACAAAGCCACACCAAGGGCATCAAACCCGGTTTCTAGCTATAGAAGTCCGCAGACATACTGCTGTGCTACTGAGAGCTACACCCGTTGTAAATATAAATAAAAGAACGTCTGACGTATAAAAAAATAATTAAAAAAACATCGAGAAATCATTAGGTAGTGATACTGCATGCCACCATTTAAACCATATAATTTAATGTTTCTCTGAAGAAGAAAGAATATTAAAAAAAACACTGCCTTTAGGTGATATTCTAGAGGGAGGAATAATAACCTCGTGAAATGGAAGAACAGAAGAGTAAAATTCCTGAATTGGAGTGTAGGGCTTCGGTGGGAAGGAAAGAAAGCTACTAACGTTTCATCATCAGTAAGACTTGGATATGTTGACGTTTTTACACTGAGTGATTACAGTTCGGTCTCTATTTCCTCCAAAAATCTGAGGAATAAAGTGATCCTTGCTTATTCGGTTGTTGCTACTTATATTTGGAACCATCACTGTGTCCACTTACTTACCACGTCCACTGCTTTAATAGCAGAATTTGTTGTTTTTAATACAAGTAGCCGTAGTTGTACATAATATTAAAGTTAGAAGTACTTAGCAAGGCTGTATTTTGTGTTAAAGCTAGCTTCATGATCTAATTGAAAGTTTTAACTTGTTTCTTTCTCTTGTACAGCCGTAGTTGTACATAATACTAAAGTTAGAAGTACTTAGCAAGGCTGTATTTTGTGTTAAAGCAAGCATTATGATCTAATTGAAAGTTTTAACTTGTTTCTTTCTCTTCTACAGCCGTAGTTGTACCTAATATTAAAGTATAGAAATACTTAGCAATGCTGTATTTTGTGTTAAAGCAAGCTTTATGATCTAATTGAAAGTTTTAACTTGTTTCTTTCTCTTCTACAGCCGACCCTGAACTTTTACAAGACATCCTGACTTGCGGTGTTTGTCAGAAAGATTTTGCCTTATCCGACATTTTGAAATTTATTCAGCACAAAGTGCGGAGTTGTAACAAAGAAAACTGCCTGCTCTATGATGAAAGAAACGACATCAGTGGCGAGGAAAATGAAGAAGACACTACTGCAATGCCAACTCGAAGATCTAGTATATCAGCTCCCATCAGTAAAGGAAACAGTAACAGAAGTACGCCAATCTTAATTCGGGGGCAGGAGGAAAAAGTGAGGCCTTCCTCAGTTTCCTTAGCAGAATCTAATTCTGACGAAGAACCTGAGGAAGGCCTATCAAAAAGCATGTCTCCTGGTGTGCTGGAAATAAGTCAAAGGAAACGTAGATGTTCTATGGAAGAGATACAACCAGAGGGTGTAATGAAAATGAGAAGAGGAGGCGAGAGAGAACCTACAGGTTAGACAGTGTAAATAAAGGGCAGAGCGAAAACACTTCGCAGCTGAGTGAACTTAAATAATATTCCTTTAACTGTAATT